CCCACTCAACGGGCCACTCCGGAAGTAGACGACCTTCCCCATCTCGTGCAGGTAAGCCGTGACCCCTTTCAGAAGCTCCTCCCCCACCCCCCTCCTCATGAGCCCCTTGAACTCCTCCCAGGTTTGCACCGGAAACCGACCGCTCTTTCGGAACCCAGTAAGCGTCGTTTGAAGTTCTAGACAAACCTTTGGAGTGGGCTTGGTGGCCTCCTCCGTTAAGGCGAGAAGTTTCAACTGGAGCGCCCTCACCCCGGCCGACTTATGGTGCCGCGTATCCAGAAAGTAGACCTCTTCAAGGATCTTGAGCTTGTCCTGATAAGAGGAGCGGAGCTCATCCGCAAGGCGCTCGAGTTTCTCCCTGCGGGCTTGCTGATTACCAACCTCGTTAAAAACCAGTACAACCGCACGCTCGTTTCCAACCTGGCTGTAAGATGCAACGAGGTCTAACCACCAGCGGATCCTTACAGGTAGCTCAGCGAGCGGACTCCCTGACTTGTCGCCCTTCTGCGCTTGTATGTCGTTATCAATTCGAGAGACAAGGACGTAGCTTGTGGCCTTGCCTTCGTTTGCTAGGAGGGAAGAGTGCAGAACCTGATACTCTTTCTGCCCCGCCAAGTCCCAAAAGACCAGTTGGGCGCCCTTGCCCTCGTAAACGGCTTGGTACTTCGCAAGAGCTATGCCCCGGATTGCCACGTATTGATTGCTGACAAATGCGCTGACAAATGCTCCTTCTGAGGGCTGGAGGCAGGCCGCAAACAAGCCCTTCCGTCTCACGAGCGATTTGGTGAGGGTGGACTTTCCAGCATAACCATCTCCGCACAAAAACACCTTTCCCCAAAGAGAGTCAATTCGCACCAACTCGTCCTCTGAAGCGACCTCCCAAAGCCCTTGCAAACGCTTGTTTCTCTCGCATGCGAGTAGTAGTTGAGTCCTCAAGGCTTTGCTTTTCCATGGAAGCTCGATACTCGTGACCTCCCCATACGTCTCGATTGTGGAGATCAGTTCTCTCACAGATGTATTGTCCAGCTTCGTAGCGCTGATCAGAACAAGCAGACTCAAGGCACTCAAGGCCACTAGTCCCTGAACTGAAGTTATCATTGCCACTGAATCTGCTATGGTACGTCGTGCACCCAAGAGACTCCAATTAGCTTGAGCACGGGCCGAGAACGTGATGCTACTCAAGGATGGAAGCTTCTTCAGCACAATTGAGCAGAACATTCCTAGAGAAAGGTCGTAGACCGAATCGAACTCGCTTGCCTCTACAAGTAACCTCCTCACTTGTCCGACGTGGCTTTCAGCAAAAGCAGTCCACAACGGCGATTCGACAAGATCGTACCGACTGTGCAGATCCATGTTCAACTCTTCGCAACCACCTCTCAGGCAGTCGAGTAGGGATCCGATTAAACCTTCTATTTTTACCATTGTACCGTCGGGCCACTCTCTCGCAAGTGCCTCAAGGTCCTCCAGTTGCCAAGAATCCGCACGGATGCTAAGAGCTAGAGGAAAGTCCCTAGAAGTTGTTGTCTTCAGAATCTCCAGAAGGTCCCCGACCTTCAAACCATTGACATTGTGCATGACCAGACTAACCAAGAGCGTTTTCGACTCAATCAGCTTCGAGAAACCGGACCCGGCAAAATCCCCTGAGAAGGTGCTCAAAGTCAGATCCAGTGAATGCAAATCGTTCATTTGCTCAAGGGCCAGCCCCAGGTTGCCTTTGAAGTGTCCCCAATCGAGCTCAACCTCCCTCAGGATCAATGACTTCAACCTAGGATGACCCTTCAAGGCCTCCGCTAGCAGCTCCACCCCTTCCTGATCCAGGCGGAGTGGGCCAACCAGCTCGAGATAGTTTGGGTGGAAAGTGATTCGTTCCACCCCAAAGAAGTTCTCCAACCCGGTCTTGATTGCCACACCGCTGAGGGTGCCTCCAAGCGCCCCGCCTTCAGTACCTTTGGCTTGCTCAACCAGGGCCACCTGCAATATGAGCAACAATCAACAATCAGCAGCCTGATTTGATGGCACGGAATTATGATCAGCTCAAGTACTTGCCTGCTGAGTACCTTTCCTGACAAAAACTGTTCAACACTCCCCCTCACAAGAGGACAATAGGAACCTGGAAATGTTGACACTACTTTGAATTGCAAAGATTCTTCTGCTTGGATTTAGCGCCTCATCTACATCCACAAGTTTGTGTGGGCAGTCAGAACCCAAGTCCCTGCGGTGGTTGTCCAATTTCTTTGCTTTCTGACAAAAGGATCCGCGACCACAAGGCTTCGATGCTGCCTTTTTCCGTTTTGTGAGCAACAAGCAGAAAAAAAAACTCCTCCTATGCTGGTACTGCAGTCTGCCCATTCAAAATTGACATGCCAATCCAGATGACCAAACACCGGGATCATCAACAATAGGAGAGAAAAGCGGCACATTGGCATCAATGTGCTTTCATATCTCAACGATCCCCTTTTACAGACAAGCAGGCATACAGCAAAGCTTTTGCACATACGTCCAGCTATAATTAAGCATCAAATGAAATCTAGGTCTGTTCATCAGGATTGAGCTTCAGAACAATGACAATGCAGGCAGCCGTTTCTTCAAGGAAAGCAAACAAGTTGGGAAGCTAGCTTGACTTTCTTGAGTGTTCCTTTGCCAACGAAAATGAGCATGCTCGGGTGACCGACTTTATTGAGCCAAATATGCATTTTCTGAATTCTCAAAAAAGCTTATTGCATTGGCCCGCATGTCCGCATAAAACCTCTGTGGCTAGGGAGACCTTCATCCTTAAATTACTCTTGACATCTTCCAAATGGTATGTGAAGCAACTTACTTTCAATCAAACTGCATCACCAACCAAGCGTGACGCACCAAGATTTTCAGCAATTGCGTGGAAGTTGCGGTTGGTATTGCTTGCAGCCACAGAGCCCGGTATCTAAAAAGATGCGCCTTCAGTTGAGCTTCTGACTGATGCACCTCGAGGGACACATAATCCAACACACTGCGAAAAAGGACTTGAAATAAAGCCTGCGGCCACATTGAACAGCATTCACAATTAGAGCCAGTGTGCAGAAGTGAACCCCTTGAGCTCACCGGTTCGGAAGCAGGGGTCGTTGCCATCTTTGGGGAGGTGACACTTCAGCTATCGGATTGCCAATCCTCCACACAACAACAGCCTGAGCCGCAACCTGTAGGAGCAACACCAGAAGGTGAGTGGCTGTAGGCAGCATCTTTTGTGTTGGTGTTCAAGGGCCTTTTCTAGGACTGTTAAGCCAGAGTAGTCCAGGCTTGACTTTATTTCTCTCTAAGAATCTAATAATTTTACCTGGACCAAACCTGTCTGCAGAAGATTGACAGGAGGTCAATCTGATGCAACGGAATATTCAACCAATCAGAAGTGCCTGTGCGGCTTATCACAGTGCCTTGTCTCATGGCATTCTTGACTGTTGCTGTCTCGATAAGCTTTCTACTCGCTTCCAGCATTTGTTGATTACTCATAGGAGGTTGCACTGCGCGACACACTTCACTGCATAGGCGATGCAAGCACGAACCCAAAATACTAGTCATTAGATTGTCTGATGACCAAGAGCAGCCCTGATGACCTGCCGGAGCGTTTCAGGTTCAAGAGCTATGGTTGATCGAACTTCTATCGCTGCCTGTTTCGCATAGAAGAATTGCTTTCTTTTTGTTACAATCAGCAATCCTGGATCTGCCAGTCATTCTATCAAAGTAGAGTGTTGTACTTGGATACTACAGTGTGAGGGCTTGAAGAGAGTTCTGCAGAATGTGCACATTGACTTGAAGTAGATCTCGAGAAGGGTTTGCACCAACGGCTGGCTTTCAAAAAGGTGCTACCTTGATTTGAAACGCCACAAACTTAAAATGCAACTCCTGACAAGATTGTAAACAACAAGATAATCCGGCAAAAGTGGGCGAAAGTTGGCAAAAAGTGTGACGGTCCGAAGCACTACCACTGTGCTACGGCAGCCAAAAAGGACGCGCGTTGATGTT